CTATGAAAAGTCCAGTCTTTTACAAATCTTTCTATGAAGAGTCCTGTCATTTACCACTGTTTCTATGAAAAGTCCAGTCTTTTACAAATCTTTCTATGAAGAGTCCTGTCATTTACCACTGTTTCTATGAAAAGTCCAGTCTTTTACAAATCTTTCTATGAAGAGTCCTGTCATTTACCACTGTTTCTATGAAAAGTCCAGTCTTTTACAAATCTTTCTATGAAGAGTCCTGTCATTTACCAATATTTCTATGAAAAGTCCAGTCTTTTACAAATCTTTCTATGAAGAGTCCTGTCATTTACCACTGTTTCTATGAAAAGTCCAGTCTTTTACAAATCTTTCTATGAAGAGTCCTGTCATTTACCAATATTTCTATGAAAAGTCCAGTCTTTTACAAATCTTTCTATGAAGAGTCCTGTCATTTACCACTATTTCTATGAAGAGTCCTGTCTTTTACCACTGTTTCTATGAAGAGTCCTGTCATTTACCACTATTTCTATGAAGAGTCCTGTCTTTTACCACTGAAGAGTCCTGTCTTTTACCACTGTTTCTATGAAGAGTCCTGTCATTTACCACTGTTTCTATGAAGAGTCCTGTCATTTACCACTGTTTCTATGAAAAGTCCAGTCTTTTACAAATCTTTCTATGAAGAGTCCTGTCATTTACCACTATTTCTATGAAGAGTCCTGTCATTTACCACTGTTTCTATGAAGAGTCCTGTCTTTTACCACTGTTTCTATGAAGAGTCCTGTCATTTACCACTATTTCTATGAAGAGTCCTGTCATTTACCACTATTTCTATGAAGAGTCCTGTCATTTACCACTGTTTCTATGAAGAGTCCTGTCATTTACCACTGTTTCTATGAAGAGTCCTGTCATTTACCACTATTTCTATGAAGAGTCCTGTCATTTACCACTATTTCTATGAAGAGTCCTGTCTTTTACCAATATTTCTATGAAAAGTCCAGTCTTTTACAAATCTTTCTATGAAGAGTCCTGTCATTTACCAATATTTCTATGAAAAGTCCAGTCTTTTACAAATCTTTCTATGAAGAGTCCTGTCATTTACCACTGTTTCTATGAAGAGTCCTGTCATTTACCACTATTTCTATGAAGAGTCCAGTCTTTTACAAATCTTTCTATGAAGAGTCCTGTCATTTACCACTATTTCTATGAAGAGTCCAGTCTTTTACAAATCTTTCTATGAAGAGTCCTGTCATTTACCAATATTTCTATGAAAAGTCCAGTCTTTTACAAATCTTTCTATGAAGAGTCCTGTCATTTACCACTGTTTCTATGAAGAGTCCTGTCATTTACCACTATTTCTATGAAGAGTCCAGTCTTTTACAAATCTTTCTATGAAGAGTCCTGTCATTTACCACTATTTCTATGAAGAGTCCTGTCATTTACCACTATTTCTATGGTTAAAATGAAAGATGAATACCTTAATTTGGGAAATTAGTTCAAATAACTCTTTAAGTCTGAAAAAAGTAATCACTTCATAATATATATTATATATCTATATCTAAAGAGCAAAGCTGTATTTTCAAAGAAAAGTTGAAGGCTGAAACTTTTCTTTGCAGTATAACCAGGGGCAGCAGGAGACAGCATTATTACTTAACTTGAAAGTCCAAGGGTCCCCTTCCTGGCAGTCTAATTTCATGTATTTCCTGTTTAGGAGGTGTGATAACTCTCACATTAATATACAATTTTTTTTTTTTTTTCAATAGTATTTAGTTCCATTTGATATTTAAATACATTACATATTTTACCAACATTTGTAACAATAAAAAGCCTGTTAGTAACCCTAATATGTAATTTATATAAAATATTTTCTATTTAAATTACTCTGAACTTATCACAACCATCAAATAGTTTAGATTCTCTAAAACCAAAACCTTTCCCACAAACAACACAACACAGAAGATTTTTACCTGTGACCTCAAAATTGTCTAAACAGATGTAAATTGACCTTAATTCCCCTCAATGTTAAACTTGATATGACCTTGACAGGACAATATGTTTAGGGTCTATAAGCATGGCACAATCACAACCGAACATAAATTAAGTTAAATTGCCTCTTCTGACAGCAAATAAGTCCTTCTATTGAACACAGAACTATAGCTCCACCTCAAGTATTATAGAAAACACTCTAATCTCCTCATAAGGTACTGAATTTCACCCTCAAATTAATTTCTCTTCGTAATGGTAGACCCCTTCAAAGATCTGCTGAAAACCCTCCGATGTTTATTGTGATACCCCTATTGTAAAAATAGTAAGGATTACTTTCACCTTTCAACATCGAATCATCTTGCACGTGAAAGACTGCCAAAGATTTGATGATATCTAAAGTGAAAAAATATCTTCAAAGTTTTCTAGCATTAAAAGCTTTCAAGTGCCGTCGCCTCTTAAATCATTTCAATTTGTTCCTAAATTGTAAAAGCGAAAAATAAAGATCAAAAGTGTGTTGACTACTTGTAGATGTAAGAAATGAAGTATTTGTCAAATGAAAGATAAAAGCAAGTCTGTTAACAGACTTCGGGAGTTTATACCAAGATGCATATATTTGCAAAGGGAAAACAAACAGACAAAAAAAATCTTAAAAGCATAAGGCTAAGATTCTGGATCTATTGAAACTACTTTCCTCCCAACAAGAATAAAATTGTATATAACAACATTCCCAGACACAACTGAAATTAACTGAAACTTTCAGCAGCAGTATGCAATCCGACCTCCTAGATCTGACCCCTGAAATATTTCGTAAGGATGAAATCAATTAACAAGCAGGTTCACTTCACAAATGGCTGCTACTTATGCATAGCAAAATTTTACAAATATCAAGTTCAAGAAAATTGACCTTAAACTACAGAAAGATAGGTATACTGTCAAACCTGTGTTGAAAGGCCACTCAAATAAAAATTGACCTTTATACACAGGTAGCAAACATTAAATTCAGGTGGTCTTTTTATAAAGGTAGTCACTAAGACAGCTTTGTCCTGATCAATGAGATTTATGTATTGCATTTTTACCTGGGATACAATGGTGATTTTAAGTAGATATTTGAAACAAGGGCAGTACCTTTTGAGTTCTGTGATACGTTTTATATCTTTTAGATGGAATGGTGAAGAGTAACAAATGTCTTCAAATTTCAGTCTTAAAACCATCACTTTTGATACATCACCACATAGTTTTGTATTTAATAATGAAAATCAGAAACCACAGTCACATTAGAAAAAATTCCCCAAAACATTTTACAAATGCTTACAGACATATGTGGTCAAAAAAAAAATTAAGAAATAACTCCACATTCCTCTTGATGGTGGGCCAATCTTTAGAGTGGTACAGAAATCTAACTGTAAACAAGTTGACTTAATTTCATTATGTGTGGATGATATGGACCTGTTGTCTAATAGATCAACATGCCAGCTACACTGAATAACACCTGTTAGTTCATAACATCAAACGTAGGACACAGCTAAGGATATGTTAACGGTATACAACAACCCTCACTCAAGACAAGAAACATAATACACTCTTATCCCTCCTCATTTCTATTTAATTGAAAACATTTCTTCAGGTTTAAATCTGCAGATGTTAATTAAACTGGACTCTTTCAGAAATTGTCTTCATTAACCTTTGCCCTTTACTCCTTGACCTAATTGCTCTCTACTCCTTCATTGCTCATGACTCCTTTAAAGAATGTATAAATTAATTGACCTTTGCCCTTTGCTCCTTATTTAACCTTGTTCTTTACTCCTTCAGGAATGTACACATTAATTGATCTTTGCCTTTTGCTCTTATTTGACCTTTGACATTTTCTCCATCACTGACCTTTGCCCTTTACTCCTTAAGAGTCCTTTACCTCTGAATGCTTTGGTGAACACAGAGGTCAAGTAGTAAATGAATGTAGTGTTTATAAGTAAATGTTCTATGATGCTGTGACCTTGACTTATTTCTGAAGGTCACAAGGTATACACCATAAAAATACCAATGTAGAGAAGAGCATTGTAAAGACGTAAGTGGACCTAAAATCAGATAGAAGCTTATTACCTGATATGTGTACCAAGAGTAAAAATACTTCAATGCATGCACTCAGTGGTAGACTGGAAATTCCACAAAACATTTTCTCAGTCTTTCAAACAGAAAAATATTGAAGTTTTGATTATCAATTACATAAGGATTGTTTCATGAAATTGTGTTGTAAACATACAGCAGCAGATGACTCAGGGAAGTTAATCAGGTACGTACTCTCTTGGGATAAACATGTTTGGCTTCAGCAGAGACGAGCCAAATTTATGTGGCCTTCATAGTTCATACCTACAGCAGACACTTAGCTAGAAGTTCTACGCCTAAAATTCACATACCACACACCTATTGGCATTATGGATTCCTATTCACTAAATTTTGAGTAAACTCTAGCAGTAACTGGGTTTATATCTGTCTCTTAGAGGTAAAGTAAATCTCACAGAGATTTGGATGGTCAATAAATGGCTTACGTCAAATAGAGATGTCCGCTGAGCCAAAGAGTCAAACCTTAATCAAGTTTTTAACTAGAACCTTGAGTGTGACGTTGTGCAAGGCCTCCAGGACAGATTCATATAGCAAGCTAAAGTACAAGGATCCATTCATCAAATTTTCAGCAGCAAACATACTGAGTTCCTTCAACAGCAAACATACTGAGTTCCTTCAACAGCCAACATACTGAGTTCCTTCAACAGCCAACATACTGAGTTCCTTCAACAGCAACATACTGAGTTACTTCAACACCAAACATACTGAGTTCCTTCAACAGAAAACATACTGAGTTCCTTCAACACCAAACATACTGAGTTACTTCAACACCAAACATACTGAGTTCCTTCAACAGAAAACAAACTGAGTTCCTACAACAGCCAACATACTGAGTTCCTTCAACAGCAACATACTGAGTTCCTTCAACAGCAAACATACTGAGTTCCTTCAACAGCAAACATACTGAGTTACTTCAACACCAAACATACTGAGTTCCTTCAACAGAAAACAAACTGAGTTCCTACAACAGCCAACATACTGAGTTCCTTCAACAGCAACATACTGAGTTCCTTCAACAGCAAACATACTGAGTTCCTTCAACAGCCAACATACTGAGTTCCTTCAACAGAAAACATACTGAGTTCCTTCAACAGAAAACAAACTGAGTTCCTACAACAGCCAACATACTGAGTTCCTTCAACAGAAAACAAACTGAGTTCCTACAACAGCCAACATACTGAGTTCCTTCAACAGAAAACATACTGAGTTACTTCAACACCAAACATACTGAGTTACTTCAACACCAAACAAACCGAGTTCCTTTAACAGAAAACATACTGAGTTCCTTCAACAGCCAACATACTGAGTTCCTTCAACATACTGAGTTCCTTCAATGACAACATACTGAGTTCCTTCAACAACAACATACTGAGTTCCTTCAACAGAAAACATTCACATTTTTGCATCAGACTTTGTACAGCATTCTAAAGCAAGCATACAAATGTCCAAATTTTGTATGAAGCTTTTATGTACACTATACACCATTTTTTGGCATTTTTCCTAAAATGTCTGTTTTAATGACATAACCATGCGTTTCTTATCGCCTCTCTCAGGTGTTAATCACCACTTTTCTATTTTTTAACATAGAAGAATTCTGATTCATTTTTGTTCTTATTCCAAGCAAAATACAATCTGCCTGCTAAATGTATTTCTAGCTGTTAGGTTAGAGCCTAACGCTTACAAAATATCTAAACCTACAGACTAATTATAGCAGGCAATCATCTGATATCTATTCTAATAAACATCGAAATCTTAGCTAGAACTTACAAGATACTTCTGGAAGGTCAAATTGAGATCCATGGTTTATCAGAAACTAGATAGAACCAATATGTCAGACATTCATAGGCATGCATAATTCATAAAAAATTACTTTAAAAGGTTAAGATTGTAATATTGACTTTGAAAATTGTTCACAAAAACAATTAACCATAACATTCATCCAGTGTAATGCTTAATATTTCACCTAAGACTATTGTTTTGCCAATAGTGCATATAAATAATAATTTTTAATTGACTGGAAATTTTTAATTTCACCAATCATTCTTTGATTTGTTTTAACAAAGCTGATTTCACCAATCATTATTTGACATTATTTAAACCAAGGTGACTTCACCAATCATTATTTGACATTATTTAAACCAAGGTGACTTCACCAATCATTATTTGACATTATTTAAACCAAGGAGACTTCACCAATCATTATTTGACATTATGTAAACCAAGGTGACTTCACCAATCATTATTTGACATTATGTAAACCAAGGTGACTTCACCAATCATTATTTGACATTATTTAAACCGAGTTGACTTCACCGATCATTATTTGACATTATTTAAACTGAGGTTACTTCACCAATCATTATTTGACATTATTTAAACCAAGGTGATGAGTTGCACCTGAAGTCTTTCTGGTGCAATTGCACTTTTGATCATTTGATACCTGTACAATAACAGCTCGTATAATTCAGACTGGTATTTATAGGTTTATAGCTTTAGACAATTAGTCAAGTACTGTCAAACTGACTGACCCACCCATCACCGATTATAAAAGACATGAAAAAGTTAACACGACTTTAAAACCTTTCTGCTGTCATTACCTCATTTTGTACACAAAGAAAGACATCTGATCTGGGTTACGAATAGAAACACACAATTATAAATATATCTGCCACTCACTCTGTCGTATATCAAGGATGGTTTTAAACTTTATGCGAAGTTAAACAAACAGCAACAAATTCAGAAATGACCTCTATATATACAGAGGTCATGTCAGAGGCCATGTGGTTAGTTTACATCAACAATAATGTCTGGGTTTCTGAGGACAAAATATTTTCACTTTCACGTTGAATTAAAGGCATACATATGAAATATTTGCCTTTTTAATGGTATTTCACTATTGCACACTATAATTTTTATGAATAACTCAACAAATTCCACTCAACCATTCATTAATTTGGAAAGTTTTTTTTACAAATCAATACAAATCAGTATCATATCACTATATTTATCTTGCAATAAGTTCAGAGTACCAACTCAGTTCATACCAAGAAATTTTCATGACAATAAGCCAAGGGGACCAACCCATGATTACCATTTTTTACAAACAAGAGATGTTCTTATTTCATGACAATAAGCCAAGGGGACCAACCCATGATTACCATTTTTTACAAACAAGAGATGTTCTTATTTCATGACAATAAGCCAAGGGGACCAACCCATGATTATCATTTACAAACAAGAGATGTTCTTATTTCATGACAATAAGCCAAGGGGACCAACCCATGATTATCATTTACAAACAAGAGATGTTCTTATTTCATGACAATAAGCCAAGGGGACCAACCCATAATTACCATTTCTTACAAACAAGAGATGTTCTTATTTCATGACAATAAGCCAAGGGGACCAACCCATAATTACCATTTCTTACAAACAAGAGATGTTCTTATTTCATGACAATAAGCCAAGGGGACCAACCCATGATTATCATTTCTTACAAACAAGAGATGTTCTTATTTCATGACAATATGCCAAGGGGACCAACCCATAATTACCATTTCTTACAAACAAGAGATGTTCTTATTTCATGACAATAAGCCAAGGGGACCAACCCATAATTATCATTTACAAACAAGAGATGTTCTTATTTCATGACAATAAGCCAAGGGGACCAACCCATGATTATCATTCACAAACAAGATATGTTCTTATTTCATGACAATAAGCCAAGGGGACCATGTCAATTTTCAAAATCCATAAAAAAATCATCTTTTTCCCCCAAAATGGATCAAGTTAATCCAAATCTTTAAATTTTTGTCCTGATTTAAAATGTTGTATACCATAAAATCTTTAGACAATACACCAAATTTGATCATCTAAACAAGTTAATGTTGCGTGTGAATGCCAAGAGAAAAGTACCACCCACTTCCGCTCCCAGAGCAATCCAAAAATAGTTCTATCAATGCAACTTCCTGTCATTCATGTATTTTCTAAGTGGGATTCACTGGAAATAAGATGCAATTCTATGTATGGCTTTTACTTTTTGTCATTTGGTCAGGTTAGATGTTAGAATAGGTATCAAAAAACATTTTAAGACAGAGCTCGACTTCAAGCAGCAAAACAAGATAACTCATTATAGTCAAAAATTAAAAAGAAAAAATATTTTCTAAACAGCAATCAAAGAATGATAAAAATCTCCTACTTGCAATTAGCATCACTTTATAAAATAAGTTTACAGAACTGATGTGAAAAAAGTTTTTGGTTTTAGTAGATCCCTGCTTCTATCTCATTCATATATCTGTCAGCGAAACTATGTCATCTTCTGCGACATACCATACTGACAGAGGTCATCCAAGTTCACACTATCGTCTTGATCAAAGGACGAAATTTTATATAAAAAAAAACTTACAATGAAGAGGAGTTGTGCTCCTCTGGAGATTAAAGGGGATGTGAAGTACCAGTCAAATACACATTTTTCTCATATCAAAATTGTTTGGTTATGTGTAAAACATTTATTTTATATGAAATATTAAAGATGTGACAAGTAGCCTTTTAATGCAATGTCACGGGTTGTAAATTCAAATTTCAAATAAGCATCTGACAGGTGATTTGTACACACATAATTGATAGAAATTTTCAGGTCGCCAAGTTAAATATCAAAGATAAAATTGGTGTAATATTTAAAACATTTTTTATAAATATGCTGACTCGGTAAATTTAAAGTCCGTGTACTTTTAAACGAACGGCTCTTGATACCACATCTGAAACTTTAGATTCTGCTTAACTTGAACCATAAACATCACATGGATTTCAAATCAGAAAAAAATACAACATTGTAGTCTGTAAGTAGTTCCATATGCTACAAAGAAGGGTTTCCAAATCTTTCTGTAAAGCATTGTTCTGTAACAGTTTAGCTGGCAGCCCCTGAATTCAAGTTACAGGTGGTTTTACTGTAGAATGTATATAGGGTACAGGAACCAAACACTAAGACATAGACTAAATTCATAATTTGTAATGTGTTGACAGAAATGGCCTGTTTTTGTGCCCCACTATATGATTGTTACAGATAAATACAGCATAAATCACACAGGAATTTCTTATGCAACACATCACACAACCCATATGCAACTTGAATATTATCTTTAACACAATAAAGCTTTGCCTACCTGAGAGTAACTTAAATCCTTCATCAAATGTATTTCTTCACAACAGATTTATGCACCTTGGGGATGACACCTGTCGACTCTCTTGTGATTTTACCGAGTTGCATGTACATTTTAAGTGTATTTAATCATCTGTGCTGACTAGAGCATTCCTATATATTGGTCCTAAAAGATCAATACGTACCTGACATATCAGGTCAAGTTATGGGTACAAACACATCCAGTATTCACCTGGAAATCTGACTACCATTAAAATGTCATTTAATAAAGTCAACTGACAAGGAATATCAGTTAATCCCTCTCAAGTTTAAACTGTCCAGTAAGAAGATTATTGTGTCTAAAATCTCTTTGTTCACAAGCATTGACAGAAAACAAATCAGTACAAAGTGAGACCTTTAACAACAGAATGTGACACTATAATGTCATTACCACTGATGTGTATTGTCTTGGAAATAAAAAGAATGCGAGACAGGTAAAAGTTGAACTAACAGGTAATAATATTGTAGAATTGTAATACAGGTAGAATAAAGGTAAAATAACAGGTAAAGATATAGCAGAATACAGGTAGATTAAAGGTAAAATAACAGGTAAAGATAGAGTAAAATACAGGTAGAATAAAGGTAAAATAACAGGTAACAATATAGCAGAATACAGGTAGAATAAAGGTAAAATAACAGGTAACAATATAGCAGAATACAGGTAGAATAAAGGTAAAATAACAGGTAACAATATAGCAGAATACAGGTAGAATAAAGGTAAAATAACAGGTAACAATATAGCAGAATACAGGTAGAATAAAGGTAAAATAACAGGTAACAATAAAGCAGAATACAGGTAGAATACAGGTAAAATAACAGGTAACAATATAGCAGAATACATGTAGAATACAGGTAAAATAACAGGTAACAATAAAGCAGAATACATGTAGAATACAGGTAAAATAACAGGTAACAATATAGCAGAATACAGGTAGAATAAAGGTAAAATAACAGGTAACAATATAGCAGAATACAGGTAGAATACAGGTAAAATAACAGGTAACAATAAAGCAGAATACAGGTAGAATAAAGGTTAAATAACAGGTAACAATAAAGCAGAATACAGGTAGAATAAAGGTTAAATAACAGGTAATAATATAGTAGAATACAGGAAGGATAAAGGTAAAATAACAGGTAATAATATTGTGGAATACAGGATATGATACATAAGTATTG